TCAGTGAGTCCTGTGCGCAGGCGTCATCTAGCAGTAGAGACCAGCTGCTGGCACCCTTTGGCCCATCATGTCCCCTTCATGTAGCTGTGCCACTCTCTTGACATGATTTCTCCTTTCACATGGCTCTGAGATGCTGTTTGTGTCCTTTTGAGACAGATGAGATGTGCCTGGTTTTTCCCCACCCCTGTGCCAGGGAGGGAGTGGCTGGTGGCTCCCTCTTTCCCCGAGTGGCTGGGAACAACTTTGCGTGGTGACCTCTCTGGCCAAACACGTGGTCAGCAGTGTCATCTCCCCACCCCACTTCAGATGCTGCTGTTGCCATTTTGGGAAGGGAGGGGGCATCCTAGCATGGCCAAGATGGCCACGACTGGAGAGGGAAGGACCTGGGCCCACTTTAACATTCCTGACCCCAAAGTGACCCTCCCAGAAGACTCCCTGGCTCTAGTGTCAGCCCCTCAAGATTGACCTGGAGCCCCACACCAATCGTGGGCCTGCAGCTGGTACATAAGCTGCTGTACAAGCAGCTCCAGCCATTTCTCCCAGTCAGTCTAGCAGAGCTCCCTCCAATGTACTGACCCTCTTGTGCTGCAGCACAGGCAGGGCCTGTTAAAGTCCTACAGGACTTTAACCTGCTTGACATGGGACCCAAAAATCCTGTAAATTGGCCGTTTGACAGTGGCAATAACCAGCAGCTCTCTGTGCCAGCGGTTAACAATCCAGCATTACCTGGTGCTAGCTGGTGACATCAGCACTGCTAGCTGAGCTGTACTCTACCAGTTCAGGCTTTCATCTGAATCAAGGAGATGAACTCAGGCTAACGGCAGCACTTTCATTTCAATTTGAAGTTCTCCCGTTAGGGTTTCTTGTGGGGCAGGCTTCCTCATGAAGAATTCTGACTTTGAGTGCCTGGAATGCCTGAGTTTCTTTCACATATGGACCTCTGGGATGACAGTCTTTTTCTCTCCCAGCACTGCAAACATGTCACCCCTGCCTCCTGGCCCTGTGACTCCTGGTGTAGAGCCAGGCCTTATCCCGAGGATCCCTTGCATGTGACTCTGTGGGTCTCTGTGTGGATGTGCAGGATAACATTCTTCCCAGACTGGATGATCCTGATGACCTATTTCCTTTTGGTGGATTATTTATTCTGTCTACTCAAAGCTCCCCCTGAGCTCTCAGTTCAGCTACTTACTCTGCAACCCCCGGGGTCTTATTTGGTTCTCCCCTTCGCTGGCGTTTCCACTGTGTGAGCACCACTGTCTCTCACTGTGGTTAGATGCACACAGCTTCCTGGAGTTCTCGGGTCACATAGTCCTTGTCCAGGATGTCCAGTACCTGAGCTTCTGCACAGGGCTTCTGCAGATAGCTATGTGACCACCCTTCCCTGTGTTTCTGTTGAAAACTGAACATTTCAGGTAATGTAATGTGGTGACTTTGTAATCAGATCCTCCGCTCCCAGGGCTTGTTGCTGCTGTTGCCTATCCTAGTCTATTTTGTGATTCCATAAATCTGTATTCTTTCCCTGGTTAGCCCAGCAGTCAGGTCATTATCAGATAGCACTCCCCTTCAATCTCAGAGCCTATTTCTGGGATCACTCCCGCATGCAGAGACCACAGCTAGGCAGAGGGGAGGGCATAGGCTTCCTGGGCGGTGCACAGCCCTGGGGATGTGTGGCCTTCAAATCCCCAAAGTAGGTTGAGAGTTCTTGAAGCTCCTCAGGAACATCCCTGGGGATGTGTGGCCTTCAAATCCCCAAAGTAGGTTGGGAGTTCTTGAAGCTCCTCAGGAACAATCCCCTGTCTGTGATGAATGTCATCTGCCTGTTCCACAGCACGGCAATCCTATCACCTCCAGGGGCTTTCATGCCACTGAGCTCTGAGTATCTGCACCCATCCAGGGAGATGTCCCCACAGCACCAGGCAAGCTCTGAGGTAGGCCACAGGTGATTTACTGTGAGACAGGCTGGACAGAGACAGCACTGGGGAAGCCCTGGCCCCCTTCTCTCCAGTCCCAGGGCCCGGGCCATGACTTTCCCAAGGCGTGGGTCATGAGTTCCCACAGCTACAGAGTTTTGGGGTAGGGGTGTTATCATATCACAAAGCTTGTTTTTACTTCAATTTGCCAATCTTTTTGATGAAATAACTCCCCATAGACTGCCACAATCTGAGTACTGAAAAAAAGTGACTTTTTTTACCAGTTTCCTCTTTGATGAAGGAGAGAGTTCCACAGTTGTCTGAGAAGCCAGCTGTTTACTTTGTATGAACAACACAGTGGCAAATGCTCCTGAGAACAGACAGGTGTCAGTTAAGGGTGACATGGCAGCCCACTGCCCAGAGGCAGCAGCCAGTCCTCTCCCAGCCTGTGCTCAGCAGGCCCAGGAGGCCATGGGGCCCTGTGCTGGGGCCCAGACAAGGTGGCAGAGGCACTGGGGGGCTGGATAGCAGAAGGGGATAGGTGCAGGGCTCAGCCACTCCACCTGCTTCCTTAGAGCTTTGCCACAAACCGAACACAAGGCCTAGGCTCACAGACCCAGTTCTGATTCTGTATCAGAAGCGCTTGACAGCACTTGGCCTGGAACAGAGGATCTGGAGGGCACAGAGGGTGCCGCCCAGGTGGCTTCAGGGTGGGTAGGATGGAGCTGATTCAGCGTTGCTGCTGCTGTGTGGCCTGCAAGCCTGGTTTAGTGGGCTTTCAGCCCACAGTCTCCCAGCAGCCCACTTAACACCCTTCGGCAAATCCCTGTCTATTGACCTGGCTAGGTTTCCTCCTAATGGAGCCTGGAAGAAACCCTAAACCATGCTGTGTGTGCAGGGGGAGACCAGGTACTCCTCTGGGCTGGGTTGGACCTCAGGATAGGAGGCAACATATGGGAAGAGGTAGGTATCTTGAGAGAGGAGCTTCAAGTACAAAAGCCCAGGCATGGGCAAGCACAGGGCCTTGGGCGGGTGGTGGCAGTGGTGGTCTGGGAGGGATGAGGGGAGCCAGGGAACAGACAGAGGACTGCGCAGCCCTAGTCCCCAGGCTCTGGGCCCTAGGTGGGAGTGCCCTCTAGGCTGAGTGTAGCGCCAAGTCTGGGGTAGAAGTTTGTGGGTCCACAAGGAACCGGTACCGTAGTGGGCGCGGCCTCTGTGGGTGTCTAAATGTGCCCATGGGTGGGGCTCCAGGTTGAGTGCCCAGAGGCATAGGCCGTGTCCTGAAAGCCCCTGTTGTGCAAGGGCCCTCCCTGGCTGGGATCCACAGAGTTCTGGCTGGAGCCCTGGCAGCCCTTTCACAGAGTATGACAAGTACTGACCTACACCCCCAGCCCCTAGCTTGACCCAGCTGTGGAGGCACAAGAGGGCTCCCAGGGCCTGTGGGAGGCTACTATCAGCCTCCCATTAGGTGAACACTTGCCTTTGAAACCTGCCAGCACCGTGGGGGGTGCAAACCAACCTGACCCTAAGCAAGGGCAGGAGGGGGAGGGAGCAGGGATGCTGACGTGTGCAGGGTACAGACAGGCATGTGGCACTGTAGACGCTGGCCCCCAGCCACAGGCCCACCGCACTGCCCCGGACACCAGCTCAGCAGTGTCCGTGGGGTGACCTCCAGGAAGGCCCTGTCCTTAGGGGCCCTGGGCACTAGTGCCAGCCCACTGTCCAAACACACTGAGTAGCAAAGCTCAGCCTACACCCTGCCCTCCCCACCAGACCCCAAAGCCTCAGGTCCCCTGAGGTTACTTCTGTGCCTCCAGCTCTGTGAGGCAGACGTGCTCAGTGCCTGTGGAACATGTGAATTCGCTGTACACACACGTGTGTGCCCACACCCAGTGTACAGGGAGCACTGTCATAGCTGAGCACAGCTGCTGAGGCTGTGGCCACCATCCTCTGACAAGACGGCAGCTCCCTTGCACACTGGCACAGGGCTGCGTGCTCCAGTGGCCCCTCAGGTGACTGGAGAGCCAGGCAAGCGGCACAACAATGCCAAGAGCTGCACAAACCAAGGCCCAGGTCCTAAGGATTTTTATCTTGACGTACATAGCTGCGTTTTAATAAAACATGCATCAGTGTGGAACAGCCCTATTTCATTAACATTGTGAATTAGTGACTGTTCCAAGCCTGAGGGCTCAGATGGCAGAATCACACATGTGGCTGCTGGCATCCCCATGCCTCTGAGGAGTGGAAAGAGGTGGTGATGGGGCCTGAGCTCCAGATCCAGAGCCGCCAACCGCAGTGCTGGAGTCTGGATACTGTGTCTCTGTTACTTCTCCATGCCGTGGTATTTACTTGAAATGCAGGCTACATCACTGGGTTTGTTTGCATTTGGTCTTTGCTGGATTTATTTATTCTCTCTCCGTCTAAGTATGTGAAACACTGACAGGGTTCCAAAACTCAGAATGGGTTTTGTTTAAGCTTGGAAGTTCTCTGGGGACTCTGCTGAGCAGGGAAGGCTGGGCGATTAAGCAAGCTCTTCCTCAGCTCCTCAACCCCCTGACAGGGGCTCTGGGAACAACTTCCTGAGGAGGAACAGCTGAGCAGCAGATGTCAAGAGCTGCAGATGACTCTGCCTGTCCCCAGGAAGGCAAGCAGCGGGGGCCTTGTTCAGCCTCTGCCCTCAGCAAGTGCCCCAGGAGGAAGGCTGCCAGCATACAGATGTGGGGACCTGGGAAGATGGCCCCTTTCTGTGGCTGGCCGCCGACCTGATAACCATTCTGCAGAGGAACAGATCCTGCTGCCTGCAGGTAGCAGTGGGACACCCTCTTCCCTGTGCAGCTGTAGGCCACCCTGGGAAGAGATGATGTTGTCCGGCTGAAGCCCAGAGTCCACCTTCCACGCTGCAGTCAGGCCAGGAAGGGGCTCTCCAGACACACCTGCAGCAAGGTGTGAATAGGGCTGTGACGCTGGCTAGGCCCCTGGGATTCTGCTCTGGGCTCTTCAGCGAGGCCCCCGCCCCCACCACACCCCCCAGTAGGGAGGAGCAAGGGAGGGTGGAGAGTGGAGGGTGGAGGTTGGGCGGAGGGAGTAAGGGGAAGACAAAGCAGGGTGGGGCTACCCGCCTGGCCGGGAGAGTGAATGCAGTAGCAGCAGGAGCCCTGCAGCTCCAGGAGGCCCCTCTCCCACAGCCAGTCTGGCTGTCCTCTCCACGGACACTAACGGACTGACTGACGACCGGCAGAGCAGCAGCTGTCACCAGCAGTCACCCTGCCCCTGCTGGTGAGTGCTGAGTGCCGCTGAAAAAGCTGGGCCAGGAAACAGAGTGCCTGGACCTTTCTGACCCTAGAAGTCAGGAGTCTGGGACAGGCAGAGGTCCTGTGTGGGACAGCATGGGGCAGGGGGATCTCGGTAAGCCCGGGTGAGTCCTGTGCCCTCTGCAGAACTTCCGGGGTATCCTGGGACTTCTCAGGGACACTTGGCAGCCCAACCCAGCCCAGCAACCTGGTGCCCTTTGCCTTCCTGGAGGGGGTGCCCATGAAGCCCAGCTGGACAGTTTCAGGAAGCAAGGGCACCCTGTCAGGCTCTGTGGACTGCCTGCAGGGTGTCTGCAAATGACGCTGCCCTCCCTCCGCAGCCACGGACAGCCTGGCCACCATGGCCCTGTGCGGGGCCGTCTGCACCCTCCTCCTGGCTTCCTTAGGCTATGCCACTGGCCAGCTGCTGGGCAGGGACTCTGTGTGCACAGCATGGCCACCAGCCAGGTACAGCCTTACCTTCACGGGCAAGTGGAGCCAGACGGCCTTCCCTAAGCAGTACCCTCTGTTCCGGCCGCCTGCGCAGTGGTCTTCATTGCTGGGTAAGGGCTCCTCCACTGCCAGCTTCCCTGCTGAAAGCTTACAGCCCCCGGACAGCTGCTGACAGCCTTGCAGCACAATGCATCCAACACACGTCAGCTCAGCAAGTATTATAGGCTGGCAGGTGGCACAAACCTGTAATTTCAGCATCTAGGAGGCTGAAACAGGAGGATCACAAGCTCAAACCCCTAGTTATTTAGTGAAACTCTGTCTCAAAATAAAAAAAAAAATAACCAAAGAGCTGGGGTTGTTGGTTAGCGTGAAGATCCTGGGTTCAATCTCCAGTACAGAGGAAGAGAGAAGGGGCTGGCAAAAGGCTTGCTAAACACCTAGGGAACAGTGGCTTGTGCTGTCCTGGGCTTGGGATGTGAGGTTTCGGGCCACCATTGGGGAAGGTAGGTTGCTCCCTGGTCACCAGTTGGGTGTCCAGTGCATGTGGATGGAGGCTGCCACTGCCTGTCAAGGCTGGAGTGGCCATATGACCTGGTGCTCAGGAAGGAGGCTGTGGTGTCCCCTTGGGTGCTTGGGTGGGGTGGGCACCCATCATTGTGAGCAGCTCATATGGCTGGCCCCCCAGGGGCAGCACACAGTTCTGACTACACCATGTGGAGGAGGAACGAGTATGCCAGCAATGGGCTGCGGGAGTTCGTGGAGCGGGGCGAGGCCTGGGCCCTGATGAAGGAAGTCGAGGCTGCCGGGGAGAAGCTGCAGAGTGTGCACGCAGTGTTCTCAGCCCCCGCCGTCCCCAGCGGCACAGGGCAGACGGCCTTGGAGCTGGAGGTGCATCCCAGGCACACGCTGGTGAGCACAGTGTGTGTGTATGTGCACATGTGTATGTATGTGTGTGCGAGTGCATGTGTAACCGGGGTGACGCCCCAGGCTCCCTGGTGGCTGAGCCCCTGCCTGTACCCAGGTGTCCTTCGTGGTACGCATTGTCCCCAGCCCCGATTGGTTCGTGGGTGTGGACAGCCTGGACCTGTGCGAGGGAAGCCGCTGGAAGGAGCAGGTGGCTCTCGACCTCTACCCACATGATGCTGGGACAGATAGTGGCTTTACCTTCTCCTCGCCTAATTTTGCAACCATCCCGCAGGACACCGTGACTGAGGTAGGTAGACCAGAGGCTCTTAGAGAGCAATTACTGGGCAGGGGCTCTGAGCCCAGCATGTGGCTCCTGTTGAGGGAGCCTCCAGGGCCTGGCCAGCACTGCAGGGAAGAGAGCCACACACAGGGTGAGAGCCCCTCCCAGCCCTCTCCACAGGCTGCTGTGAGCACAGGCAACAGAGTTTGGCAGCCCTGTCGCCAGTGTCTACAGTGAGATGAAAACATACGCAAGTTTTTAAGATATTTATTCCAGCAAAAGACACACTGCAATGACTCCCTGCCACAGTACCTGCTTGCTTCAGACACACTTGCCTACTAGCTCTGTCACTCTCCATAGCACATCTGGAGTGTTGTCCTGGCTGCCTTGATGTCCTGAATTGGCTCACAACAATGACCTTTCCTGGTCATTCTGACCTTGGGGAGGAGCCAAGAGTCATACCAGATTTGGTGCCTAAAGAGGATGAGGACACACTGTAGTGTTTTCCAAGCCTAGGCTGGGCTCTGCTTTCTAGCACTGCCCTCTGGACACTGGGACTGGCCCCAGGGGGTTGCATATGCACCTAGGTGGGCTTCTTGGACTCTGAGCCAGCCCTTCTCTCCTCTATCCTAGATCACATCCTCCTCGCCCAGTCACCCAGCAAACTCTTTCTACTACCCGAGGCTGAAGTCCCTGCCACCCATGGCCAGAGTAACCCTGGTGCGGCTCCAGCAAAGCACCAGGGCCTTTGTCCCACCTGCCCCAGACCTGGCCAGCAGAAGCAATGAGATCACTGACAGCCTCTCAGGTAATCTGGACCACGTTTGCTGTTCCTGCATGTCACAGGTGGGTGGTGGGGAAAGGGCAGAGAAGCCCTCCAGCTGGTGCCAAGGCATTCAGGGTCAATGGGAGACCAACTCTGCATCTACCATGAGACCCCCATGGATGTTTGTCTGTCTCAATGGACACACAAGGCAGATGTTCGTGGGACCAGCCACACCCACACACACCATGCCACCTGGCAGCAGATCAACTGGGAGGGACACCTGCCCATTCATGGGGCTCCCAGCCACATGAGCTGGAAATAACAGAGTGGAGAGGACAGATACGGATAGAGATGGCTGTGCTGGCCTAGGAACCCCACCATGGACCCAACAGGAACAAATTCTGGAGAATTCCACCCAGACAGCTGCCACTAGATGGGGCAGGAGCACGCTATGTCTCTTTTCTACCTACCCCTAGGATGTCTGAGGGGCACCTTGGAAACATAGGCATTACCAGGTGATTTAACCATAACCACAAATGGGTGATTTTAAAATATGTGAATATAATGGAGACAGTGGGGACACAGGAAAAGGGACAATGACACTGAAGTACCAGGACTCCACAGGAATAAGCCCCACACCCAAAGGGTCCACCAACACAGGTCTTCAGAAACAAGCAGACACAAGCGTCAGGGCAGCAGGAGGGCTGGTGCCTCCCAGGGCTCCCCCACCTAGGGCATCCTCGCCCCATGGGCCAACGTAAACTCAGTCTGGAGAGGCAAGCTCAGACTGCACTCTGGGAGCCCAGTGTGCATTGGGCATCCTTCTGTCTCTGACGGTTCTCTATGCTGGTTCAGTTCCAGAAACACCACTGGACTGTGAGGTGTCGCTGTGGTCATCCTGGGGTCTGTGCAGAGGTCCGTGTGGGAAGCTGGGAACCAAGGTCAGAACTCGCTACATCCGTATGCAGCCCGCCAACAATGGCACACCCTGCCCCGCACTTGAGGAGGAGACTGAGTGTGTCCCCGATAACTGCGTCTGACCTGGATCTGGGTCACCCAGGGTTCCCAGGTGGACAGGCCAAAGGCCCACAGGAGGCCTTGCACAGACCACCATTGGTGGCAGCCTGGGGATGGCTGTGACAGGCCCCTTCTGCAGGCAAAGGAATCCGGAGGCCATGAGCCTGCTCTTCATATGTCCCTGTAATTTATTGCCATTCATGAGGCTGCCTGGGATGCTAACAAGAGGACACTCCAAAGAGCCCTGCACCTACAAGGCTGTTAAATACCTCACACCTGGCACTAGCCCACTACCATATCCACTCTCAGACCAAGGTAGCCCCCACACTGCTGGCACTGAAGCCAAGGGGCCACACAGGAAACACACAGAGAGGGATGGTTTGGAAATGTGGTATCTTCATCTGTTGATCTTTGCATCTGAATAAAAGCCATCTGTCCCTGAGAAATGCTGGGGACTGTTCTCACACTTCCCTAAACACCACACACCAAAGACCCTGGGTGTACCAGTGGGGACACTTCGAGGTGCCCAGGACAGTCCTTGGCTGCAAGGTGGGGCAGGGACCTGGCAGGAAAGGGGGAGCAGGCTTGTGAGGGACCCTGCTAAGGCTTTAGAAATTGGCATCCAGCAGCAGCACCTGTCCAGGCACACACGGACAGGGAATGACTGCAGATCTGGAGCAGCACTGGGGTTACCATGGCTGCAGCCCATGCTGTCCCCTCCTGCAGGGGATGGCCAATGCAGTCCTAGTCAGGGGTCTCCCAGGATCTAAGTTCAGGGGCCTTGCCTACAGGGGCCTTGGTATTGGTCAGCTTCCTGTCACTAAGACAAAGCATGCAATAAGCAACTTGGAAAGAGGACAGCTTTAGTTCAGCTCACCTTTTGAAGATTTCAGGGCACATCCAGGGATTGAGTGCTTCCAGACTGTGATGAAACAGCACAGAGAGATAGCAGCTCATGGCAGAATAAGAGGAAGAGGAAAGGTCCTGGGTCTCACTATCACCTTCAGATCATGTCCCCAGTGACAAAGACCTCCCCAAGGCCCATCCCCAGTCACCAGAACCTCCAGTAGCCCACAGCCGATCACCAGAACCTCCTGAGGCAGGTCCCCAGTCACTGGGACTTCTTAAGGGCCCATTCCCAGTACCAGGACCTCCCACTAGGTCTCGTATCATAAACGTTCCACAGGCTCCAAAGAGTGCCACTCCTGGGACCACAATTTCAACATGTGCCCCTGGAGACCTTCCAAATCCAAACTTCGCACTCCAGGGGTCTTTCTGACCTTCCCAGGCCACTCAGGAGTCAAGGGCGTGCGTGCTCTTCCCCAGCATTGCTCCTTCCAGCAATGCAGTCTCTGACTGGGCCTGCACTGGTCACTGTCAGGGAGACACGAGGAACAGCCCTGTCCCTTAGCCCCTGCCAAAGCCTGGACCAGGGTTGTGTTCTTCTTGCTCCTAGAAGTCTGTGGTACACTATTCTGCCAGCTAGCTAGGACCCTCCACGCTGATGCCTCCAAAATCAGGCCTTGGGCTACCACTCATCAGCCAGTCTCCTCCTGGCCGATGGAAGATTCCAGGCCGTAAGATCTGAGTTTACACGGTATTGTGGCTGTATCTCAATGTCCCCCCAAAGCCTTATATGGTTATAGGTGGGTTTTTTTCAGAAGTGGCTGAATTTAGTGTGTGTGATTAATGCATGGTGCGGCACTAGGATTAAATGCTAGCGTTAAGGGTGGATGACTATTTAAATAACCCACTGATTGGTTTGGCACTACCCTAATCTTGATAGCCCAGATATGATATTTGGGACAGAAACAGGCTTATCTTGTCTCTGGCTTGCTTTGCTACCTTCTGCTAGCCATGACCTGTTGCTCCTCTGCCATGCTGCCCTGCCATGGAAACAGCTAACTATGAACTGAAACCTCTACAAACTGAGCTGAATAAACCTTTTCTCCTTTAACTTTGGGTGTCAAGTACTTTGTCTCAGTAATGAGAAAAATAGCTAAGACAGGTGGAGACCTGTGAAGCCCTGGTTAACAGTGTTTCTGAAGGCTTCCAGGATGAGCAGTGTCTGCAGCATCAGAGACAAAGAGCTCACAGCTGCCCAAGATTGCCCTGATCACCCTGACACAAAGCAGCCTCAGGGAATATTCATACACTCAACATTCACACCCACCACACACAGCATGTGACCCTAGACACCCTCACCTGTGGAACTGCACTCTCTGATACCAGATCTGTAAGTCACTGGGACTGGGTGGTCAGACCCCAGTTCTCAGGAAAGCTGAACCCTACCGTGGGCTACCCAAAGCTGATTAATAGGTGGACTTAAACCTGGGTGCTGGTCAAATGACAGCAATGTGAGACCAGGTCCACAAACCAGAAGCTGCTAAAGAGCCTACAATGTACAGAGGACCCTGGGGCTTGTAAGGACACCTGGGAACACCAAGTTGCTTTCTTTCCTTATTGGAGTGAAGCTGGGTGAGACCTTGGAGGACTCAGACAGGATGGTGGTGAGGAGAGAGTGGTTCCCAGCAATTACCCCAAAAGGCCACAAAAACATGGCAGAAATGGTGAGCAGGGCAGATTCAGGGCCTGATTCAGACAACATAAATACTCAACAGACCTGTGTCTGACCTGTCCCACGGGTACTCACTTGGCACCCCATGGTGGGAGGAAAAGCAGCAACCTCTGAGCAATCACAAACAAGCAACGAGTGTCCCACACAATCATCCAGTAACAAGAAAGTGGCCATCACTGGGTATGGTAGCCATGCTTGTAACCTCAGAACTCTGCGAAGCTGAGGCAGGAAAGTTGAGAGTTTGAACCCAGCCAAGGGAACTTTAGAGACTTAGCAAGATCTTGTCTCAAAATAAAAATAAAGAAGGTAGCTTAGTGAAAAGACTATGGGTTCAATTCCCAGTACTAAGAAAAGAAAGATTGGGGATGCTGTGTTTTTAGCTCAGCAACACAAGTGCCTGCCTGGCCAGCACAAGGTCATGAGTTTGATCCCTGGTGCAAAAAAAAAATTAAGGATCCGTAGGAAAATGCCCAATGCCTAACCCATGATTGAGAAAGAAAAATTGCCAAATACTATGAAACAAGAAGAAGAAAAATGACCAATCAACAAGGGACACTTGGAAGCGAAGAAGTCTGGAAAACCAAGGCTTGGTCAAGGGGCACAGAGCTCAGCGGGCTGCAGACAACAGTGGCTAGGGACAAGAAAGATAAGACTGAGTGCTGCTCAGGGGCACGTAATAAAATGGGACACTCCAAGATGTTTTCAAATTGTGACTCCGAAAGAGAAAACAGGAGGAGTGGAAAAGAAACAGTATTTAAGAAGAGCAAATAGTATAAACAGTATAAAAAATACAGCATGTGGTAGACAGGACAGGGAAGGCCACTGCAGCCACCAGGCGCCAGAAGAGACCAGCGCGAGGCCCATGGGGAGGGAAGGCAGGTGGAAGGCCACTAGCTGGACCTGGGACAGGGAGGCCTCAAGTGCATTTACTGTTGGCCAGAGCTGTGGATTCAGAATGAAGACAACACAAAATGCAGACGCTTTCAGGGGACAACAACAGAGAGCTTAACATGGAGACCACTCTGAAGGGATTTCCAGTAAGCACTTTAGGGGGAGGGAAAATTGTCCTGACAAGATGGGCAAAGGAATTTTAAAGAACCTCAGATAATTAAAACAATCTCAGATGACAAAAGCAGAAATTGCCCGAGTAGAGCAAAAATAACATCTGAGAAATGGTTAAATTACAACTAATAAACAGCTTTGAGAAACACAAATCTTAAACTGTAAGTGTAGGCTCCCAAACTCAGACTTTGGCAAATTTCTAAAGTCAGGCTTTTAAGAGCTCAGCTGTGCCAGCAGTTATAAACACTGCCGTTTCCTACAAACCACCTGCCTCCGTGTGGCGCTTTCACTGGGTGACCGCTACCTACAAACCACCTGCCTCCGTGTGGCGCTTTCACTGGGTGACCGCTACACCCATCCATTGTTTGCCTCTTCTCTGAAAAGACTTCCCTTAAATGTTTTATGGACCATTTTACAGAATTTGTCAGGGAGACCACTGGCCCTGAGGTTTCTTTGTGGTAGGAGTTTCAACTACAATTCCTATACTAGATAGATTCTGGAGCTTCATTTTTTTTTTTTTTCTTGTATAGTTTGGCAATTTGTGCTTTCAAGGAATTAGCTTTTGTCTAAATTGCTAAATTTATTAGCATATCTTATTTCTGGCATTCTTCCATTGTTCCTTTAATGATAGTAGATTTATAGTGATGTTTCCTTTTTGGTTCTGACATTGGTAATTTATGTTTTTTTCTCCTTATTCCTTGATTGGTTCAGTTAAGTGTTTATCATGTTTACTGATCTTTTCAAGGAACCCATGTTGGTTTGATTAGCTCTCTTTCTTTTGTGTTCATGTTGTTTCAGTGATTTTTATACTTTATTATCACTTCAATATTTCCCTCCTTATTTTAAGTTTAATCTGGTTTTCTTTTTCTTATTTATGAGGGTGAAAGCTTAGACCATACATTTTAAAACTTTGCTACAAGCATTTAAAGGGATAAATCTCCTTCACAGATCCTGAGTCCCACCTGAGGAGCTGCTGGATTACCACACAGTACCCTGCCCTAGAGATGGAGCCCAGCCCCGCCACACACTCATGCCAAGGTCCAGTTCCATCAAGCCAGCCTACTCAGGCCTTTGGTAAAGTGGAACAGCTTAGTAGCCTGAGAAACATATAGGTACCTCCCATCCCTGTTAGGCCTGCAAAGCACCCAGGATGCATCAGGGAGCCCTGCCCAGCCTCCTACTTCCCTGGAGGCAGCCCACATACTGCTGCCTCAGAAGCACTTGGGCCCTGTTTGTGCACTCTTGTCCCAAGCAAGCAGCTAGGCAATCAGCCCTGAGTAGCTTGGCACCAAAGCTCCCAGGAAGCAGCCAGCAGTTCATTCACCTTCCTGTGACCCCAAGAAGCAGGTGAGCAGCCTGTTCTAAGAAGCTTCAGCTGCTAAGGCTCAGAGAAGCAGATACTTGACTTTGCCCTCCCACCTTTGGCCCCAGGAAGATGGGGAGCCTCTTTAAGTAGACAGGCCCCCAGAGGGCCTCTGATTTCACCTGTGCAGCTGGCAGACACTGTTAAACACACCCTGATACCAAGTACACAGAAATAAAGGAAATAATGAGTACTTTTCCTGGGAGGCAGCGCAACCAATCTACGGGTGCACCAGGGAGAGAACAAGTCAGCATCTCCCAAGAACCAGCCATGCCTGAACTCGGTGGGCAGACCAAGAAAGCACAGAGCCATCCTTCCTGAGCAGCACGAGTGAGCCATGAGCCTGCCAGGGAGAGAGTAAGTCAGTGTTTCCCGCGAGCCTACCAGCATGCAGGCAGGCTGAGAATCAAATGTGCCCCCACACCTCCGCCCTGTTAGCAACTGGATGGTTTCGAGATCAGCAACTAAGGTACATAAAGCAACTAAATGCTTGTACTATTGGGTTGATTATGCTGACCTGGGGCCAGAGGTCTGAGCATCTCTTGGGGGGATGACTGTGTGCAATGTAGCAAGTATGAGGGATTTTTGTCGATCTTGTCTTTGAAGGCCAATATTGTTTTCACTGTTTTGCTTTGTTCTGATTGTTTTGATATATTCAATATTCTGTTTTGATTGGTTTTATAGTGTTCTGTTTTTGGTTTAATTTTGCTATACCTGATTGAATGGACAACTATTGTGAAGACAAGATATACTATGGTACCAATTATTGGTATTCCAGTATCCTGCTCTCAAGTTCTGTAACAATTTCACTGTCTTATCTTGATTGGCTTTGTTCTGTATTGTTTTGTTGTATTTTACTATCTTTAAAATAAAATTTAAAAATAAAGGAGATAATGAAAAAGAATAAAGAAAGCCTTTGGTACTTGTAGAACAATACAATAAACATTTGCGTTATGAGCACTGTAGAAGAAGAAGAAAAAGTCATAGAAAATATACTAAATGAAATAATTACTAAACTTTTCCAAGCCTTGTGAAAGATAGAGACGTCTGGTTGAAGGAAGCTCAAAGACCCTTAATATATCTAACCAAAACACATTCTGTCCAGGCAACATTTATGGGGACGTTCTCAAAAGTACAAAACAAAGAAAGAATACTACAAATAGCAAAAGTAAAGCATCAAGTCACTTATGGGAAATCCTTTTTACATGAATAACAGCCATCTCAGTAGAAACTTTACAGGCTTGAAAACAATAAAACATTCAAAGTTCTAAAAAAAATTACCAACCAATAATCCTATAACCAGCAAAGCTGTCCTTCAGAAATAAAGGAAAAATAAAGATGTATAAATACAAGCTAACAGTGACCTCACCATCAGACCACCCTATAAGAAATGCTTAAGTCCTACACTAGAAATGAAAGAAAGATAACTATCATAATGAAAATATGCCAAATAAAAGTTCAGCTATAGAGCAAACATAAAAAAGGAGAAAGAGAATGAATCCCTATGACACAGAAGACCACCAAATAACAAGATGAATAAGGGGAAGAAAGGACTGAAGAATATATAAAACAATGAGAAAAAAAATCCAAATGACAAGAGTATGTCATTATTTATTAGTAATAGCCTTGAATATAAACAAATTAATTCTCCCAATTAACATAGACTGTCTTAGTGGATTAAAAAAAACTTGACCCAAAAATGTACTGTATACAAGAAACATACTTCACCAGTAGATACACAGATTAAAAGTAAAAGGATAGAAACAATACATACCATGCAAAAAACAGGCAAAAGTAGCTATATTTATATCAGAGAACATAGCCTTGAAATTAAAAATCATAAAAAAGATAAAGAAGCTAAGCTAATATATCATGATAAAAAGATAAATTTAACAAGAAGAAATAATTGTAAATATATATGCACCCAATGCTGGAACTAATTACATAAAGCAAA